TGCCAGTTGGCAGAGCCAGGTCTTGACTGCTTTCCGGAAGGACAAGAGAGCTGGGGCCTGCCTCACCTCTGGGGGGAGATAATTCCATAGGGTGGGGGTGTATGGGTGTGGTGATTGTGCAGAGTAAACAGAACTAGGATTTTCTGATTTGGGGAACAAGTTTGGAGTTGTTTTTAATCTTTATTAAGCTTTTATGTATACATATATACATATCCTATACACACACACACACAAAATTCATGGCCTATGCTATTTTTGGTATGTTTTCCATCACAGAATAGCAGGTACCATGTTATCCCTTTCTGGCAACTATCAGGGACTTGGCAACATACAGCCTTAGACTGCCCACCCCTGTAGTCGTGGAATTCCCTTTGGATGTGTCTCCTTGTTCTTCTCTTTTCTCACTCCTTTTCTCCCATTTCTAGAGATGTCGATGGAAGGTGAGCCAAGTGGCCTTATCAGAATCACCCAGCTTTTTCTCCTCTCCACAGCCTGGGGAATGCAGATATGGGTAACCTTTATCGCAGGTATGTCTGTTGGGTGGGAGGGGAGCTAGCTTAGAATGTTATTCTTCTGTATGCTAAAGGCTGGGTTAGAGCAGTGATGAGGTGGAAGGAGAGAAACAACCTTCCATGTTCTCCAAATTTGCCAGTACCTTTCTCTAACATGGTTTTTCCAAATCTAGTACCCTTGAATACTCTGACTTCCAGCTCCTGCCCAATATCGCTCTGGGAACAAAGTTAGCTGCAAGAAAGTCCAAAGCCCAATTTTGTAGTGTTTTATGTAGAAATCTGTACTCCCACCTGTTGGCTCAAATCTCTGGAATCCTGCTTCTCTTCCATTGCTTAAAGAAAAAGGTGCATTTTTCCACGTAACCCACCCCTTCTTTGTCTCTAGGGTTTGTTCTTTTCCGAACTGTGAGCCGACACACCTTTGGCCTGGTACAGGGCAAACTGTTTCCCTTCTATTTCTACACCTTGCTTGGCTGCACATTCCTTAATCTTGCCATATTTGCTACATACCATCCACGGGAACTTCTCAACACCAGAGAAACTGTTCAGGTAAGTAGCAGTTGATGATCTAAAACCCTGCTTTTTACATTCAGGGGTCAGTGTACAGGCAGAAAGTATATGAGCACATCTTGAGCCTGCCATATTATCAGCATTCAAGTTACCCAACTCATCTGAGGTTGAAAGATGTGAAATCCAGTCCTCTGGCCTTATTCCTAAGAAAATACCTTCTTGGCTGCATTGACCTAGCAGCTTCACTGTTCAAATTAGATCTCTTAGAAGACTTCCAATATCTCCTGTTTCATAGCTCCTATTAAGTCTTTGTCTCTCTACATCATTTTAATACCCTGATCCCTTTTTCAGATATATTCTTCCTGTCTCCTAGGATCTTTGCAGCACCAACTGCTTTAGCTCAAGGATAGTCATAATGGCATATAGATATTTATATTACAAGACATAAAGACAAGCCATAATTACTTATCATTCAATTCTGCTGCTATACAAGTGAGAGCTGGTGATGGGAAGAAGGCATTGATGCTTGCTTCTCTGGGTACCAATCCTATTTTCAGAATGCTTTATATCTAGATACTAACGTCTGTGGCCAGGTCCTCATGAGATGAATTGTTAGCAGCCTTCTTGGTGGAAGGACTTGGTAAGCAGAATGATATGGAGACTTCACGCATGATGGCATCCATATACATTTTGTAATATTTTACTACAGAAAGGCATTAAAACATTTAGCACGTGGTGGTTTTTCATTCTGTCACCATTCCCACCTTTGGGAAAGTCTCTGTGTGAATGAGTTGCTTCAATCCTTTCCTAATTTCTTGTTTAGTGTAATTTTGTTCTGCAGAGCAGATATCAGGATAGCGTAGGCAGCATTACAAGATCTTCCTAAGTCATTCTGGGCGTGGTTTTCAAATGCAATAAAAAAATGATTGCATATCTTATAAAACAGCCTTCTTTGTCATGCTAAGAGCAACAAAAGTCCCAGAACACTGGAGTGACTGTGATGCTACTATTTGTGCAAGGTTTACTGAATAAATCACAATTAAGTGGATCCACGTAACACACATACTAAGTCATAACCCCAAATTTACAGCTTTAGTGGCTGTGTTCATGCAATAATCCAAAAACAAACAAACCAGGTCCTTGTTTAACACAATGTCTGAATCCTGGAGAGCAGTTCTTGAGGGCAGAGAAGATGAGGGCTTTACCAAAATACAACTGTAGCGCTGCCTCAAAGGGTAGATTTTATTTGTATATTTTCCTCTAAGAAGAGCTTTTGACTAGATGAAAATACATGGGGCTGTGGCTTGAATTAAGGAAGCAGAATAATTGCCTGGGGCTTTTAAAAGTATTTGGTAAGCAGTGGGATATTAAATCAATTTTTTCCCCTTTTCCGTTCAGAGCAATAATAGGTTCAGTATATATCTACTTCCCTATTTGTTAAACATCAGGGAAGCATCTGAATATTGTTCAGCACTGGAAAAACCTGTTTTGAGTGGTCATATAATCACTTTACTGGCAGCTAATCAGCACCAAAGATCACTGTGTTTTGGAACAAAACAAGCCAAAAAGATAGGAGCGTGGTGGTTGAAAAAGATACTATGCAATACTATCATTTTCTGCTGCTCCTTGCAGATTTCATCTAGAAAATCATTGTTTTTAGCTACCCAGCAGTTTCCTGTTTTGGGGCAAGCATACAAGAAACTGTAAATAAAATGAAACAAAATATAAAATAAAATAAAAATACTGGAGAAAGTGTATGGATATCATCATCACATAGGATATCTAAAATGCTTTTAACTAGGTTCAAACATGCTTGAGAACCTACTATTCCTCCCCTTAATTTTTCACCACAGTCTCTTTGAATCATGAGAGATAATCTGTGGACCGAGGAAAATGCAAAGAACACAAGCACTTGACAATTGTACAACTCTGTTAGCCAGCAGATTTTACAATATTTCTGAAGTGCTGGTGTTTTGATTGAACTATCCTAGGCAGAGAAAAGTTAGTATTCATATTGCATTGGTTCCTTTAGTGTATATGGAGTAAGTGGGGTGTAATGTGGAAAGCATACTCTGTAGCTTTATGCCAATCACTCTCTCTCAGCCCAACCTACCTCATAGAGTTGTGGGGGGAAATTGGAGGGAAGGCAGGATAAAAAATAATGTTAAAATATATACATCTTTTTATTGTCCTTTTTTTGGACTACACAGCTAATTGACTCTTAAAAATGAGGAAAATCAAATTCATCAACTGCCCTTTCATTCTTCTTTCTACCAATAAGAATGTAACTCCAAAACCCAAATAAAAAGTCCCCCAAAGAAAATTGCAAATAAGGTAGAATCCAGAAATGGTCCTGATACCTGTGCCTTCCTTATAGATCACACTCTTTTTTATTTGCCTCATCTTGGTTGCCACTAATGCCTCCTGGTTCTCTCAAGTCACCACCAAGACCATGCTTAAGATGCAAAAGATTGAAAAGGAGCATGGGCTTGGAGAGGAAGTGGGGGTTTCGGGTCAGCGGGAGGCTTACCAGCTTCTGAAGGAGAAGGACAGCAAATACCGGAATCTGCGCCAGAAGTTCTTCAAGTTTCATGGCCTGTCTTCTCTCTGCAACCTGGCTTGTGTTATTTGCACTGGGGTGAACTTGGCATTCATTGCCCTGCAACTGGAGAGCCTGTAGACTATCCACCACTCTTGCTGGTTCTCGCGCTTTCTCCTAAAAAGCTGATTTAGTGCAGAAGCTGTTCAGTTTGGTGAAGGAGAAGTTTGGAAATCAATACTTTGGAGTGCCCACCATTCTTCTGGAAACAACCAGATATATAATGCCCTCCCGAAGTATAAATTGGATTGTCTGATAACTGGGAAGGGATGATATATTAAATCCAGAGCAAAGTATCTGCATAAATAAATCCCATTTCTGTTTTAAAATCTTAGATGTAATATTCCTTTGTGTTATGCTAGTTTAGGAGACTTTTTTTAGAATGTTTTATTATTTGTCAATGTCAGTAGACTCCCTATTGTTAATGAGAACCTAACACCATTTAACATCAATTATATACCCAGAGAGTAAGCCCACTGATCTTAATGGGACTCACTTTTTAGTAGTAATGTACAGGATTCTGCTATGAATGTGTTTCTAAAGAACATTCAAATACAGAGTGCCTTCCTGTATAACATATACAAAAGTGTGTGTGTGTTTATCTTTTAGAATTTCAGTTTTAGAATAAAGACTGTTACTACTAAAAATGTACCTATTACTATTAAAAATGTTCTCTCCTTCCTGCTTGGACCTATCTGGACCCTTGATCTCTCATTCCTGGTTTCCAGCTGGGACTTTCCAGGCTGACAAACAAGTTAATGGCAGAACTCCTATTTGCTGGATTCATTATCTCTTTTAGTCTACTGAACTGCACTCATTTCACTAACTATCCTATTCTCCTGCCTGGGTGAGAAAAATCCTTTTGTAACTCTGGTTCATGCTAAACCACAGTTTACTGCATAAAACAGTTGGCTGGATTCATACAATACACTAAACCATAAACCATGATTCATGAATCACAGTTGTTGAGTTCACACATGCTAAACTAAAATAGTTTGTATGATATTGTTTTAATGTGTTGTAAGGACCAGAGTTGTTTTGTTTCTTGATGTTATATATAAACTGTTATATTATTAAGAAGGCTAGGTTGACATGCGGCAGACATGGATAGCTCGGCCCATCATTTTGCACTGTGCTTCCCAGGCCATCAGCAATAAATTAGTACCTTCTGAAAAGGAACAGTGTTACCAGCAATGTAACGTTTATCTTAATATGAAGATTAATACAGTAGAGTCTCGCTTATCCGACATAAACGGGCTGGCAGAACGTCGGATAACACACAGTAACGATTGAGTGCGGTAAAAAAAAAAAAGGATCCGCTGTGTCTGTTGCAATAGATTTTTGCGTTGCAACGCCGCACTGTCAGGAGCAACAAGAAAGAGTACACTCATGCTCGCAAACAAGCGGCACACTTTTCTCGTCGCCAATTTATGCACGTTGTTGTGTTTTTTTTTAGGGGCGTCGGATAAGACGGAATGTCGGATAAGCGAAGGTTGGTTAAACGAGACTGTACTGTATAATCTAAACATTCAGCAGCTGCAGGAAAAAAATAATTTTAATTGATTGGCTCTGCAGCAAAACACTGGTGCAATTTATCTTGCTGTCTCTAGTGGTTTATACTGGTTTAGCAGAAACTATCTTCCATCCAGTATTTCATAGCACACCGTGACAAGGATAGTAAGACTTACAATGGATACCATGTAGGAGGAGAGCTGGGTTGGTCTATGGTAGCCAAAAATCAGGAGGAGTCTGGTAGCACCTTTTCCAACTACAGTAGAGTCTCGTTTAACCGACCTTTGCTTATCCGACATCCCTAAAAAAACACAACACCACACATAAATGGTGTCGAGAAAAGTGTGCAGCTTGTTTGCGAGTGTGAGTGTATTCTTTCTTGGTGCTCTTGACGGTGTGGCGCCACAATGCAAAAATCGATTGCAACAGGTGCAGCAGGCGCACACGTCTAGCCTATGACTCATGTGTCGGTCATGTCTCGCTTTTCCTAATGGTTGCTGAGTGCAGTTTGTTATTGTATGCAGATCGGGTTTTTTTTTGTTTTTTTTAACCACACTCAATCGTTACTGTGTGTTATCCAACATTTTCGGTTATCCAACGTTCTGCCGGCCTGTTTATGTCGGATAAGCGAGAGACTACTGTAATTAATTTTATCAAAAGGCATATGCTTTTGTGAGCTATAGCTCTGAATACAAGACACTTGCATCTTTAAAAAAGTCTAATATTGGATGTACCAGGACAGATGGGTGATCAGCCCACTGAGAAGCCCGTTCGAATGCAAGGTGAACCTAGGGAATATTTAAAATTCTGCTCTGAGTATCAAATCCTCTGAGAAAATAAGCCAGAGAATACATTCCTGCTCCAGTTCACTGTGCTACTCCACCCTCTAGGCAACACACTAAAGAGAGCTTCATTGAGGAGGTGAGTGCTGCTATTCTCAGGTACATGCAAAAATTGTCTACTTCTACCAGGAAGAGATGCAACTTTATCCAATATTGGGATGCATGAAGAGCAAGATGATATGTTTGCCTAATCCCTGGATTGTCTGGTTGGGGCGATAATCCAGAATCTCTACAGGTACCCTGTTGCCTGGCTGCCCCGTCTCATCTGTATGTGCTGTAAACATGTACAATGTTCGAAGATGTGTAATAAGACCCAAACTAATGATTAGGAAGTCCATTTCAACCATGAGCTTTGATCTAAGCATCATATTAAGGTCATAATTTAAACATGATTTGTTGGATAAGCCGCAGCTGGCTTCATGCATCACACTGAGCCATGGTTTGTTGAAAACTAATTTGGTGAAGTTGACACAACATGCTAAGCACAACCCAAACAAGCCACATTATAGTTAATGTAGTGTATGTATTCAGCCAGAGATTAAATAGCAAACTCACCTTCACAGACTAACCCAAAGCCATGTCTTGGTGATGTTTACATGACAGGTTTCGCCCAGCCACTTCCTTCTAACTACTAGAAGTCCTTAGCCTCATCCCTCCCTTCTTAAATTGACCATAGGCGGAAGAAGGGAGGCAGGAGGCAAATGGGACCGCTCTGTATTGAAGAGTGATACCCTTTGATCATAGTACAGGTGAAAAGATTTCTCTGTTCCATTTTATAAGCCTCCTATGGCCTTTGTTTTAATCTCTTTAAACAAATGCCTGTAAATCTGCTTTAGTCAAGAGAAAAAAAAACCCTTTTTTTCCATCTGTCTGGAAGATTGCTCATGTCCATATGTACACATATAGCTTGAGTCAACCCAGCCTGGTCTGCACAGTGTACTAAGCCATTGCTTAATTAAGTTCAGTGTGACATGTAGATCTAGGTCATAGATTAGATTGTGGTTGAGGAGAAATACCTTAATCACAATTGGTACTTATGTTTAGAAAGTTTCCTTCCCCAATTTTTGTGTGTTATCTAAACCTGGCAGGGATGTTTAAGTCATTGTTAATTCTTCCTTCTGGCCTCCAGAAATAGAGATGAGAGCTAGGGGAGGCTGCATAATAAGGCCTCTCCTGCCACAGCATTTCAGCTGCTCCCAGCATTATTTGCACATGCTAAGCCTGGACTCATTCTACACATTTAACTAGTCCGGTGTTTCTCAACCTTAGCAGCTTTTAAGATTTGTGGACTTCCCCATGCTGCCTGGGGAATTCTGGGAATTGAAGTCCACAAAGTTGCCAGGATTGAGAAACGGCAGACTAGACTAATGAATACACTTCAAGTTTTGTTCTTCCACAGCAATGCTCCAAAGTGCAGATTGATTCCTCCCTCCCTCCCTTCTCCATTTTGGGGAAAAGAAATCCAAGGAGTCTTTTGCTGGACTAACTGCCCCACGCCTCACATTTTCACTGTGAGCAGAAGCAATCACCTGAAAGCTTGCTGTCATCTGTTGTCTGCTCCAAAGTACATGTAAAATCTGCCCACCAGCAATGCCAAAAAAAAACTCCCTTCCCAGCAGCAGGCCTTATGGGGAGAATTTCACCTTTCCTTGTTTATATGAATATACCTATGATAAAGTGTGCCAAATACTAACATGAAATCTTTTGCCACGTGCATATATGTCCAACCAACATGAGCCAACTTTTCAACTACTTGCTACAAGTAGTCAAGTCTATACTGCAAGGCTCTTGCCATACAACCCCTCAACAATTCAGCTTTCTGCAGTTTTCCGCAGCTTCCAGAAGGGTAGCCTGAAAAACAGGCTGTTGTCAAGAAGAAAGATTACTGCCGTTCAGCAGGGGGTAAGATTCAGCTGCTGAAGCTAAACTGTTAGTTCCTTCCCTGGGGACTGTGGGAGGGGGGTGGCCTAAAAAAAAAAGGAGGCATTGAATAAAGCACATTCATCAGGAGACCTGGATGCTGCCAAATCCTTTCTAACAGGCAAGAAGGGGATCTCAAATTGGAGAAAAAGCCACATCATAAATATACTAAGAGCTGGAAAGGGGTGATCAATATACATACTGTACAGTACAATAACTTATGTCAACCCAAGCTGACAACAACAACAAAGCTTATCCCTCCACTCTTTCTAATTCCTTTCATGATCTTGAGTCACATTCCCTGAATCAGACTTCTTGAACAATCCAAACAAAATGCTAGGATAATTCTTGCACATGAGCAATGTAATCATGGCTTGTTTGGCCAATTCCTGTCCCCCTCCTTCCTTCCTTTTTCCTAAGCTACTCCAGCCTGCTATTGCTTGGATTTATTAGACGTTTCAATAGGGCGTTAAAAAACAAAACATAAACAAGGAGCAAGCCAGGAAAACTGCAACAAACCAAATACAGATTCTTAAGCCACAATTGCAACTACTCAGCCAATCCGAAATCATTATTTCAAACTAGGTTCCTGTATGGAGCAGATATAAATGCTGTCTTCCCACATTATGATGTTATGAAACTAGTTAAATCTGGGCTGGAGGGCATGACAATTAAGGGAATACGTAGCTGGCCCAAACGTTATATGGTATTCAGAGTGAGCTCATGATTCCTCATGGAACTGGAGTGAGCCATTGAGTGGAACAGTCTTGCATGGTTCAGTCTTGGGCCCTGTAATTTTTAATATTTGTGACAATGATTTTGATTAAAAGCTGGATCAAAATTTGCAAATGAGACAAAATTGGGTGGGATAATGGATACCCTAGAACAGTGTTTCTTAAAGTGTTGCCCTAAGACCCCTGGAGATCCTTTGAGACTCTCTCAAGGGTGCGTGAAATCAAAATTATTTGCCAGCCTATTGAAAAATAATACAATATTAAAATTCCATCAAGCAACTGTGAGAGGAGGTAGGGGCAGCAAATGCATCGATTTTATTCATACAGTAAATATCAATAAATATAATCCATACAAACAAAAGCTCTTTTGGGGTCCTCCATAAAAGTGGGAAGGGGTCCTGAGAGAAAAAAGTTTAAGAAACGCTGGCCTAGAAGACAGAAATAAAATTCAAAATGATCTTAAAGGAATGGGATGAAAATAATAAAATGAAATATAACAAAGGCAGTTTTATCTATTTCACATGAGAAATATAA